ACCTGCGCGTTCTGCACAAAAGCTTTTCATCTCTTTCTTTCATTTTTGATGATTTTATTTACCAGTCTTTCTTTTATGTCTAAGAATATGTGTACTAAATTTGGTTCCAATCGGTTGAGCCGTTGAGCTGGAAATGAGAGTACAGACGGATCGGCAGACCCATATCACCGAGATATTGATTCGGATTACTGGTGCCTGAAAACGTGTATTTCCGTCAAAAAAGTTTTTTCCGTTTTTACCCCAATGCCATTTTGAGTACGACTGAGAGTCTCACACCCAGAAATGTTAAAGAAAATAGAACTCTTGGCGCGAACCCGGCTACGAAGGAACAATCAGGAATGTTCAACGACGTAGCACCACCCCCCGAAGAACGTTCAGAATCTTCGTTGTGAATCAAGTGACTATCAAACCTCCACCATTCTGAGACGCAGTTCCACATTTCAGGGATTGCGGGCGATCCACCCGATAATATACCGCCGTCGCCACCATCGGTACCGACATCCTCTTGCAAGTGGCCGGCTTCGTCTATCAGAAACAAACAAGTGTGGGGCGCTTAAAAAAGCGACTCATCGATTGTTTCACGGATAGCGAGGAGAAATGGATTTAGAATTTGACGATCTGAAGCCTTTCCTACTGCTATTACGTCTTCGTAACCTACGAGGCGTGCATATTGGTGAGGACATCCTGAAGTCTCTCTGGTTATCTCCACTATCACAGTAACACCAATCCATACTAACCGGCGGCGACAGCTTCGAAAAACTAGCGACGATGGCAGACAAACTCCACTAAATTTACGATCAACGCATAGTCGCGTAGTCACCAACTACCAGAGAATGGGAAATTGCGTTTTTAAAACTTAAGCCCGCCACAGACGCTGGGTTATGCCTGTCGGTTTTACATGTGCAGGGAAAACCGACGAGCTTAACCGAGCACACACACGTTATGTTATGTCTGTACAAACTCTCAGTCCAACCATGGCACCGTTCTACTTCACGGTATGACCAATGTTGGTACCACAATCAAGTAACGCGGGAAAGTAGAACCTTCATTGCCATACCGTTTCCGGAAACCTGCTGTAAAGCTGGCAAATATTTAAACAAGATACCCAGAATTGCATGCGATTTTCAGTACGGGAATTTTTTGCCACTCAACTTGTATTCGGAAACCAGACTTTTGATGCGGCTCATATTTAATAGCACTGATCCTTGAACTCGTAGAAATCGATTGGCGAAGGTTTGACATCGCTGTCTCTTTTCGTTCTCGAGTTAGACGGGGAACAGACAGATAGACAAAACCATCACATAAGGGGATTTTTTCTTTCGAAAACTTCCCCTAAAAACCGCTATCACCACCCCCTTTGAACTCTTCTTCCAGTTTCCAGTGACACAGTTCGAACTACGGAATGCAGCACAAACGTTTCAACGTCTCCAGGATCTACCATTTACATTTGCTTACCTCGACGACGTGACACAAGGCTTATATAGAAGAAGTGCTCCAACTATTTCAACAACACGGCATCACAATTAACGTGGCTAAATGTGAGTATGGTGTACCATCGCTCACGTTGTTGGCAATGGACATCTTAAGCGAAGGTGTGAAACTATCAACTTCCAGACTTGAAACACTCAAGAATCTCCCGGTCCCACAGACCATCCAAGACCTGCGTAGAACATTGGGCATGTTCAATTACCGCAGATTCGTCATGAACGCCGCCAAAACCCAATACACGCTCGCCGAACTTCTGTGTTTAGGTAAGATAGAATTGATCATTTTACGAGTTGTTTTGTCTAAATTGGTTTACCTTGTTTTTATTTATTTTTGTTTAACTGGTTTTGATTCAATTACCTGATTTTCATTGTACAACTTGAGATATTTTATTTTTGTCTTTCTCTTTTGCACTTTGTTGTCATAGTTTGGTATCTATCTATTATGCCATTTTTTCCGTGTTGGCTTTGTTCCTGACTTTATGTGAGTAATTATTTAATTTTTCTTGTATTTTCGGACGCACAAAATTCTTACGTTTTATTCAATTCCCTTTCCGGCTCTGTCTCACGTCCCAACACATAAAAGAACCACCATAGTGTAACACAGCGGAGGATTATTCTTACCACCCAGTTCGAGCCGACTGCTATTATAAAGTAGCACGAAACGTCCTGCCGTCTATGAAAGTTTGAGGCTCTGTCTTGGCTCTGTTACGTATAGGGTAAGTCAAAACGGCAGTGTCGGATCGAAGACCTCTAAAATTATCACAACCTCCTTTACACCTTTGCGCCATCTTCACGTCTTTACTCATCATACTCATTGTCTAAGGGCGTACTTCAAAACCTTTTTACACCTCCTAAACGTATCTCTCTTCTTCTTGTGCAGTTCCTTACCTCCTTATAGATCGACCGATACGGTATTTTTGACCGATACCAATAAATTATCGGCGTATCGTCTAAAAATAATGATGAGACATCCTGTGTAGGAATATTTCAATTTATTAAGTGAAAATCTGAAAAATTATATACGAATAAGAACAAATTTGATTTATTTTACTTCAATTTAGTTAAGATGCTTTAATGCAGGCACATCTGGTCGTTTGCGATAAGAAGTTTTGTTATCGTACGAAATTTAATTAGCCCAGGCGTTCGTATCGCTGTGTTATCAGGTCTAATTATGATTGTCGGTGTGAAATATCTTGAGAAAGGGGATTATTTTACAGTGGAAGCGGTGTGCCTTTAAATACTGGAATCAACCCTAAAAACGAGACAGTTTCGCGACGGTTGGAAAGCGTGCACGTTTCTTGACGCATCAAGTTAATGTTGTTTGTCATCAAGTTTTGTGTGTTAGAGAAAAGTTCGGAAGCTGTCAGCGTTCATGTGTGAAGTTAAGTGTGCGTTGTTTTAATAAACCTTTGCACGACCAGATTATTAGGTTTATTAAAAGAGGTAATTTTTCCAGATGTGTTTCGGAATAAAATTTTGTCATTGCCAATTAATAAATTGTGTGTTTATTTGAATCCTTTATGCGACTCGGATAGAGTTTTCACGTCAGATTTTTTCTTCTCGTATCTAAGAATATGTCATGTGCGAGGGCTCTCTCACTGCCCGAAATATGTGTACACATTTTGTTTTTGCACTGCACAGTGTCTAGCAGTGCGCCACAGTGCAAAGAAGGGTCCCATATTTCTGTCCATAATGCCGCAGTGTGACGCCATAAACTTACTTATGGGTGTGCGCAATGTGCCGATTTTTGGTTAGGTGGCTGGCGGGCAGCAAATGCGGGCTCTTAGAAGAACGCTTGTAGAAAGACGAGGCGTGTACTTGCATCTCCCGGGGTCGTGTAATTAACAACTTTAGGGACGGGGCTACATCATGTGGGGTGGGCGACATATTGGCCGAGCGTGTTACACTAACGTGGTGATCTTTAAGGTTTTTTTTCTATCTTCGTCTACAGTTTTGGTCAGATTATTTTCAAATTGGTGTCGTCGCACAATTCTTGCGTGACGGAATTTTGTGTTCTTTTCCTAGCGAAATTAACTCGCAAGGTGCGCGTCTTCGAGTGGTGTCGACTTTGGGCGCCCAAAAGCTTCTTAGATCTCTAATCGCTGTCTCTCTTTCTCGTGTCTCCGATAGAAGTGCCCCAACAATGGAGTGTAGAGTAATAATATAAGGTTATTAACTTTATGATTGTGTAAAAGTCAATATCCAGGATATCCGCCGATATGTGATGAAATTGGCTATTACAGCAATCTAGACAAGTAAGTAGCAAGGTTGGCAAACTCGCAGGTCATTGGGTTTGACGACCATTGCTAATCAGAAGAGTGTAAAACTTGCATCGAACGAGTTGGGTTGTAAATAAACTCTCTTCCCCAAATGCATTCATTTATTACTAAATAATTCTAACCCCGCAGGAGTACTATTTTATAATTGGTTTTTAGCGAAATTGAAGGTGGGCACCGACAAAGGGAATGTGGTCCCCCAACAAGATCTTACTTGGTGGAATCAAAACTTCAAACGCGAATTGCGGATGAACGAGACGTCGGAAGTGGATAAATAGTAAATATTGTTTTAGAGGACAAATTTCAATTCCCAAGAAATGAAAAAAAGTGAGAGTAGGATGGGATACAATAATGAGATCATTATTACTAAAATGCCAGGTCAGCAAACCATATACGGCGTTCTATTAACAGCTAAGAACAATACTAAGGAAAACCTTGGAATACTTGACATAGAAAATAATTATGAAAGCTTTATTGGACTGGGCATATCAAACTTAACTAAAATTAATGACAATGACACACTGACTGATGATGATATAAAAGATGAAGAAACAACAGAGATCATTGATACTAACGCTATAATGACCGAAGAAGAAACGACAGAGCTGGAAGTAATTAGAAATAATACTAATAGAAACGACATTAATACACGGGATTATACCAATGACATGACAAAAAAATAGGAGCCAGTTTTTAGCAATCATATTAAACAACAAAACAAAAATCGTTAGGAAATCAATAACATGGTTCCTTAATGACCAGACAGATGGAAGAATCTATACGGACAGAATTTTTAGATTTGCATGGGCAAGAGACAAAGAACATAAAAAGGCCTCTGAAAAGACACAGAAAAATAAATTGGCAATAAAAAATAAGTGTCAGATATCCAAGAAAAAATAAAAAATGAACAAATTTGACCACAACAGATACGGAGACGGATAACTCATTAAATTTATCAAGTGATTGTGACATATTTGAAGATAAGGATGGTTACCAACAAGAAAATGAAGCCATTACTATCGAAAATACTTTGCCATATGTTATGATGTCACAAGGTACATTGGCAGTGACAAAGTGTACAATTGAATTTTTAAAAAGAGACTTAGAGTTAATCGAGGGGTAAACCGCTAGTGGAAGTAAGTGTACAATGTAGTGGAAGTAGGTGGAAGTATGTGGAAGTGTGTGGAAATATATGGAAGTACGTGGAAGTATGTAGAGAAGTACGTGGAAGTAAGTACGAGGTATTTGCGAAATATAATAACAGAGCAACTGCGCACCGTCACCGATCATCGACGACTCAAGACCTAGTGTCAGCGAACGACGTGAATGTAGAAGGCCTCTATCCACTATCATACACGTGCCTAAAAGTGTAAAACCGTTCATACTTTACGTCGTGCACTGTGAAATACAATATAGTTTTAAGCGCGTTCTGTAGAACGTTTATAAAACAAATCAATGTGGGTAAGTTGACATTTCTCGATATAGAATGTTATTTTCATAGTCACGAATCATCTTTCTACTCCTACGTCACTTACAATATAAAACGCGGCAATCTACGGCATTTCAAAATTATTTATCATAACTTTGCCTAGATAGCGGTGTCTAGAATTCGGAGTACCGGTTATCGTCGCGGTTATATGACACCGTATCCGGTCATATTTGAGTCCGGCGTTACTACTACCATTGTTAAATACAATGCTACTACTACGTATTCGGCAATTTGCAATTCACCTCGCAATTTACACCTTACAAAATACATCAACTTGCGTTCGTCGTAGTTTCTTTGTACATTCGAGATCCTATATAATGAAATATATTTTTATAGGCCCAATATTACATACCTAACCATTATGAAATTAACGATTTTAATTTTCCAACTCATAAATTTCAAACATTCAACTGTCGGAAAGTACAAGTTTAAAATCGATTGCAAAATTTTAACCGGACATATACATAAGCAAGATAAAAAACGTAGTAAAAATAGGTAAACAAAAAAATTACAAAAGTCCTCGTATGTGCATCGATGAGACTTCAGCGCATTTTTGGCGTGACGGATCAGTATTGCATTAGCAATCAGTATTTTATCAGAAAATTTTAATTATAAAATAAGGTTTATGCAAACATATATTTCTTTATTAATTTTCACGAACTCTAATAATAATTGGACGATGGTATGAACAGTACGACTCGTAAACCGAACAATCAACAGTGTAGTTGACCATTTTGCCAAAAACTCCGTCAATTATTGTTCCGCCATTCGTTGTCACTGTTCGGGGAGAGATGATCACTATATTGAATTTCTCTTGAAGAAATTTCTCTACCCGATTTCCGACAGTTAATGGGAAATTAAAGTCTCCCATAATCAAGACGTCTTCAGTTGCCTCAATGAAATCCCCGATCTCCGATAACGCTGCAATCAACAAGTTGTTGCCTTTACTAGGAACATCAGTGGTTCAAATTTCAAAGAAATATCTCCATAAATAAGAAAGTCAGTCACTGCGCATGCCTACACATAATTTTTACTATTTGCGAAATGTTTGCCTTTACTAGAAGCATCTGTGGTTCCAATTTCAAAGAAATATCTCCATAAATAGGAAAGTTGGCATTGCGCAGTCCCATTCCGCAGGGACTGGGCATGCGCACACATAATTTTTAGTATGTGCGCAATGTTTGCCTTTACTAGACGCATCTGTGGTTAAAATTTCAAAGAAAAATCTCAGTAAATAGGAAAGTTCGCATTGCGCAGTCACTGCGCATGTCTACATAATTTTTACTATGTGTGAAATGTTTGCCTTTACTAGAAGCATCTGTGGTTAAAATTTCAAAGAAATATCTCCATAAATAAGAAAGTTGGCAATGCGCAGTCTGCGCAAAATAGAGAGTGCAATAAAACTGTCTGAAATGGGCAAATATAGACCATAGCAGCTATCAATTAGCGAAAACCCGAAGTCTCTAGGTGTCCCAGGGGCCGAGATCTCGATGGACGGACGGACGGACGGACGGGCGGACGGACAGACGGAAACACGAGCACATAAGCGTTACCTCAACTTCGTTGTGTTACGCTAAAAACCGCTCAGACCTGGATACGATATTTTTAACCAAAATTATACCACAAACTGTAAAACTCATCACCGTGTTATGATTTTGATTAGTTTTCACCTTGAAGTAGTTATCCTAGATAAGTCATATTAGTGACCGTAGTTAGGCAATGCCAAAAGTATATTTTATAAAAAAGCCATTCCTCTACGTCAATCGGATCGGCTTAAAATCGATATACGCACGGACAAGTTTTCAAGCGGCGTTAGTTATTTCGCAAATTCTAATTAAACGCAACCACTACGGGCTTAATGAATGTCCATTGCGCCAATAACTCGACAAGACGGAGATAATGCAAAAAACCGGACCTCTCTACGATGTCTAGATCAAAAGTTTTTCAATCCGCCCAGCCAGCCAGCCAGCCAGCCGGACAAAGTGAAATGATAAGCTCCTTTTTGTTACCAAAAATGCGCTAAAAAGATACCTTTAAATATTTTATTTTATTTATTATTTCGCAATTAAAACGAGCAACAGTTTGGATTATACAAATTTTTTTTTATACAGCTAAAAAAAACGCCGAGCCGTGCCGAGTAGTTAACAATTTGCACTACCTACTGAATTTGACATGGATCAAATAGAGGACATTGCGGAGGATGTTTTTAACGAAGTTGAGAAAAATCTAAACTTTAAGCTACCTATTACATTAAAAAATATACTCAACATTACTGGCTTCGATAACTGTGAATCGATTACTGATTAGAGATATATCAGAAAAAGATGTAACTGAAATCGAAGATTTTGCTCGACACAAATTGTTAGAAATAATTCCTGAAAGTGAATATAAAAACTATCTTGGGCATTTTGCAAATAAACCCACTTTATTTGAAATAGTGACAGGTCATAAAAAATTGCTGTATAAAGTACGGGATTATTTTAAAGATAAGCAAAACAAGTTTGTGAAGCAAAAAGCACGAGATGATCGTCAATATAGACAAAATGACACCGAAAAAGCAATTTCAAAATCTTACCCTTCAACTTCAAACTCGAGCCAAAACAACGACAGCTACAGTCAAAATCGAGGTCAAAATGTTAACAACAAAGATCTCAACCTCACAGAAGAAAATAGGCGTGTCTCCAAAGTTTTGCATGAATGGATTAAAACCAAGTGCAGTGATGAACAATGGTTATATTTTAAACAAAAAATTAATGACTTTGAGATCAATTGTAGAGGCAATTTAATTACTGGACAGTTTGAGTGCATTGTAAAATGTTATTGTAATACGACCGCAAAAATCTCAAAAATATCCACCAAAACTACTCACCAAAGTAAATGGATATACAGTAATTTTCATAAACATTTTATAAAACATCTAAACGTTTCAGTGCCCAATACATCAACCCGCGCGTCAACCACTTCACGTCGATCAAATAAAACGCACCAAGAACCGCCTGGCTATCAGCAACGTAAACAAACCGCAATTATGGATTTTTTTACCAATCCTACTCCAAAATCCGAGACTGTTGATTAAACAAGAATTACTTCAATAACACATACTAATAAAAATGGCGATGAACTTTTGGAGAACCAGATTATAGAAGAAAATCCAAGAGAAAATCTATTGAACGAAATACAATCGACCGCTAGCGTGAAAGTAATTCCAACTCGAACAAGCGATTGTAAACGTAAGGCGATAATCTTACAGAATATTGTTTTATCACCGCGACCGACAGACATAATTCAGGTACTAAATGATCCAACCGAGGATCCAACTGAATCTCAGTCTTCCACGACACCTTCTGAATTACATGACATAGGAGAGGAAATACATCGATCGGAACTAATTGGTTGTGAAAATACTTCGAAAAAAGGAATGTCATTACACCATGAATCTAGTCTGATTATCAACGAAGATTCATTGATAGAAGATGATCCACACTGTAATAAAAATGTACAAGGAAATGAATCTCTACCAGTATTCCGAATAACATCAAAGTGGTCTTCAACGAAATATAGCAGAAGAGAAAGGTTGAGAAGAAAAAGAGAAATGGACGATTCTACGCAGCCGTTAATAACATCTTATTATCAGTTGCTAGACGCGGTCGAAGCTCGGGTGGAACACATTCTAAAGACAAATCCAAAAATCTGTGCTTTTATCGCCGAGTATGAAAACGTATGCAAAAGTAATACTGATTATGCTACATGTGAAAAAAGTACAAATGAAACAGGGACAAATTCCCTTCTTAAAACACTAATGGAAGTAGCGATTAAAAATTCGATGCAATCTAGTAATAGGAATCGATATACAGATGTGATCAAGCAGTTTGCAATATACCTCTACTACATTGGAGGAAGACTCCTATACGAAACTTTAGAAGCGAACCTCAAAAATGCTCTTCCGGCAATATCAACTTTGAATCGGTATGTGGACCAAAATAAAAACAAAATTCAAGAAGGCGAATTCGATTATGACGGATTGAAATTATTTTTAGAAAATCGCAAACTTCCTAAATATGTGTGGATTAGTGAGGACGCCACTCGTATTACTGGAAAAATCGAATACGATTCGACAACAAACAAAGTTATCGGTTTTGTTATGCCCCTCAAGGACGGGTTTCCACAAATGGAATCATATGTTGCGTTGTCCGCTCAGGCAATTGAAGGATACTTTCAAAATAATAAAAAATCCGAATACGCATATGTCATCATGGCGCAGTCTTTATCAGAAGTAGCTCCCTCCTATTGCCTAGCAATCTATGGAACAGATAACAAGTTTCGATACACAGATGTAACGTCAAGATGGAATACAATGACGAGACAACTGGACGAGCGCGGAATAATTGTATTAGGGTATTCCTCTGACGGAGACACGCGCCTTTTAAAAAGTATGCGTTATTTATCTTCCCTGCCACCTGAACTACAAATAAGTCAATGGGAATGGTACCAAATGAACAGTGATTTAAATGTTGTTCAATCATATATACAAGATACGGTTCATATCGCTACCAAGTTGCGAGTAAGAATATTGAAGGCGGGTAAACCATTGATAATGGGCAGGTATACTGCAAATCCTGATCATTTATTTTTATTAATACATCGATTCCCAAAAAATGACCATTTTCTGGCCGAAAGCGACTTAAATAATGAGGTTAAAATGAATTTTAGATCAGCTGAAAAAATATGTAGCGAGGCTGTTTTAAATCTCTTAAAAAAGTTATCAGAGGAAACTTCAGAAGAAACAGATGCCACAGTTCAATATTTAAGAATAATGCAGTATGCTACAAGTTCATTCTTAGACCAAGCGCTGACAGTTGAAGTCAGAATTTATCGTATGTGGTACTGTGTATTTTTTCTAAGAATTTGGAGACAATGGATTCTTAATACAGCTAGTCTTAAATTGAGTGATAATTTTTTGACGTCTAATGCTTACCTCTGTATCGAGCAAAATGCTCATTCTATTATAAAAATAATTAGATTATTCCACAAACACGATCTAGATTTCAATATGTTTATTCCTCATCTATTCAGCAGCCAAGTTTGTGAGCAAATTTTCCGTGCCACTCGCTCAATGACTTCGACTTTTTCGACCGTTGTCAATTTTAGTTTAAAAAACATAATGGAACGACTTGACAGAATTAAAGTGATTAATAATCTTATGAATGATTTGCATGGAACATTAATATTTCCTCGCGAAAAAAGACAACCAAAAGTACCAAACTTTTCAAAGTGTAATGACTCTGAATTTGTTCGAGCACTGAATTTCTCTGACACCGATATCGAACGAATTGTTCATCAAGCTCTTAGTGATTCAATATTGGCAGCGGAAAACTTGGGAATTGAGGTTTTTGGAAAAGCATACAACCAATTAAACATACCACTAAAAGTTGATGAAAAATTTACTCAAGATGAATTGCAACAATATAGTGAAGAATCGAAAATGGACGAAGCCATATCTAGTGTCAACCAAAATGAAGACTCTTTATGTCTAGTGCACGAAAACGTAATAAATACCGTATTTAGTGACAACATAAATAACGATGAAAATGTTAATGATGATTTCGACATATCTGCTGATATGGAAGTTGAAATTCCTGAAGAAAGATCAACGGCATCATCAAGTTCTTCTACCCCTTACGTAGAAGTTATAACCGGAGGAAAAAGAGAAAAATTGAAAAAATCCACATTTTGCTGGCTGCTTGAAAAAGGTAAAGTTAGAATTAGTTCAGATCGCCTTTCGAGATTTCACACATCCAAAAAACCCCGAGAAAACCCAAACTGGACAAAACATCAAAAATACTATTATCCTCAAACAAAAAACCTGCAAACAAAATAGTTACTAGTACGGGTCGAAACAAAAAAAGGATTCTCAGCGAAAGTTCACCTGATAGCAGCTCACCAGAAACAGACGTTTATGATTCAGATAAAGAAAATGAACAATACGGTGAAAATTCGTGTTGCACAATACTGCCTGAAAATTATTATGCCGTATATTATGATGAAGCGTGGTACATAGGAAGAATTATTTCAACTGGCGACATAGAATCCATTCCAAATTCCAATGCTCACTCCAGTGTTTATAAAATGAAATTTTTAAAAAGGGATCTTAATAGTTTTGACTGGCCTAAAAATGAAGACATCGCCAACGTTGACAGTAGATATATTTTTTTCGGACCCGTACAGTTAATAGGAGCATCTCCATTTCAATTAGACAGGACTCAGTTAACTGCCATAGAAGCAAAATATAAGCGCATGAAGAAGGAAAAGCAACACGTAGTTATTCTTTAATTTGAATTTAAGTTTGATTAGTTTTTCAGTTATGTGTACATTTAACGTTGATTTTTTTTGTATTATACAATGTTCCATTACTGTTTTTTTTTAATTTTTGACGTAACAAACCTAATTCGCATTCACATATTTCAAGGACGCTTAATGGGTGGATAAAAGTAGTAGAAATAAGGGTAAGTAATATGTGGAAGTAGATGGAAGTAAGCGGAAGTATGTGGAAGTATGCACGAAACGAGGAAGTATTTGACAAAACTGGAAGTAAGTGTACAAATTTCCGTCAGCGGTTTACCCCTCGGAGTTAATGTAAGGACACATTTTTAACACGTGTTAACACGCCACGTCAGAATGCGACACATCAGATGTGCCGGACACACATCTGTGTTCTGAAACGTGTGCGAACCGAACCCATGGCCTAATATACAATATACTCTTATTAGGCCATGTGCGAACCTACTAGAAGAGATGGACTGGTTGGGTGAAGAAGAGAAAATGGTACACGTTACTGATTCACTGCTTGTGCTACAGAATGAATCCAGAGAGTGGTTTCATCCAATAAGCGAGATAGGCACGAATTTGGTGAATATCATGTTCTGTGGCCCGAACTCGTCAATGACAATGAGAGCTGTGTAAAAATGTATATGAGGACGATCAAGAAGGAACTTGGCGTGCTTTAGGTACAGTTTATTAGATAATATTAAAGAATCAACAGAACAAATTTTAGAGATGCAATATCTTCTTTCATTAACTTTAAGGTAGGTCTTAACGCTATAGCACTGATGAAAATCTGACCACTCTAGATATCGAAAACCAGCCTTACGATGTGTTCAAGCGTGTTGTCAACCTCTGACGACACATCACAGTAATGTGCACAGGTCTATTTAAAATAATGCGAGATATTTCTGAGGATAACACACGTGCTAAAACAGTGTCCTTACTTTTTTACATGGCATGCTAGGGAGACATACAAACAGTTGAGAATAAATTGATCTTTTTTGGGTCAATTGATATAACAGGATCACATCCCTTTTAATTAAATAAATATTGTCTGAATTTAATAAATTCAAATTATAAAATAATGAAACAAGAATTAATTAAATTATTACGGCACAGGATAACAATGTCTTGCAAAAACGAGGGGTTAGTCGGTGTGGTATTCTTTCGTACACATGACTGGTAGTCACTGGTATTCCCGTGTTAGTCTCTGGTATTCCTATGGTAGTCTGTGGTAGTCACTGGTATTCCGAAGGTAATCAGTGGTATTCTCTGGTATTCCCGTGGTAGTCAATGGTAATCTCTGGTATTCCGATGGTAGTCAGTGGTAATCACTGGTTTGCTGGTGGTAGTCTTTGGTATTCCTATGAGCATTTACTAACTTTTTCATTATTGCTTGTATGTAGGTATTTCCGGCATAAACTATGGTTTTTAGCGCATTTCCAAAAAAAAATGCGCTATTGTGGCCACTTTGTTGGTCCGTCCGTCCGCTCGTTCGTTCGTTGAGACGCTACTAGTTCTTTATTATAGTTAATTGCTAAAAAAGTTATCGTAAAAAAACCGAGAAAAAAACCAAAAAAACCGTTTTTTTTACATGTTCCATAATTTTACACTTTTGCCGTTTATTAACGATCCTAGAGATCGTTTATAATTTTGTATTGCTGTCTGTCCATGTATCTCTCCGTGTGAACGATCTTTGTTTAGAAATGTCCGATCGCTTTGGCATCTCCGTTAGTTATCAACTGAATTGCATGAAATTCAATATGGGCATAGCTTCAGCCATATAATACGCAATGCCAAAAGTTGAGTCGAATCGATTCAAAATTCGCAGGTGCCCTTTTCGCATCTCGACCATTTATAAACCGAATTGCAAACTTTTTATTTATAAAAGTATTTAAATGAAATGTGATACATAGCCACTTAGAACAAAGGAAAATCTAACGTTAGTTTTAAAATTTAGGTTTGCGCATGCGCAGTGCCAACTTTCTTATTTATGAAAGCATTGAAATGAAATTCCTCTTATAAACTGAAATTGAAGTAGCACGTCAAAAATGGATTGTACCTATGCAACGCTATCTTGCATATTTGGGGCCGGATTTTTACGTTGTTAACAGAAGCTGCATCTTACAAATGGAAAATGAATGCAAGTGGAAATGCGCTTTTTGTAAATCGTTTTTTGATTTTGTCTATCAAATCGCATACTTTTTCAATTAATGGGATTGATTGTTGCAGTGCTGGTGATTGAAGGTGACGATTCAATTTTAAAGATGATAGCGATTCAATCAGTAATAATGGATTTGTGTTGTGTCTTTAAAAACATGCCAAGGCTTCCATGATAATCACAGATATCTTAGATCTGGATCTAAATCCTTTTTAGATGATGATCTTGTATTTAGATCTAGATTATAATAGATCTTCCCTCGGATCTTCCACTAGTAGATCCAAAGATCAATTTTAATTTATTTATGTTATAAATGTTTATAATTGACCGAGTAAATCGTTTCTATATTTAAAGAGTAAATGTACCATTCAAGTTTCGGGGATTTACCAGCCTTTTAAGAGTAGTCAATAGTCGTTAGCATAACGGGTAGTTTAGCTTAGGGGGTAGTATCGATAATTGTTTACAGTACAACTGATTCATGGGCATGTCGCCGCCGGTCTACCTGAATTATCCGAAAAACACGTTATTGTTATGTAGGTAAGCACACCACTTTGCCTTAAGTAGTAATTCTCTAAGCAGATTTAGGATCAGTTCGCGCGATATTCACCTAGAATTACACCCACTTTTTCTTGAAATTTCTCAATCCATGTATTTTACGGCGGGTACAGGAAAAGAATTAGTCTTTCAGCGTTAAAAGATAGACATGATGACTCGGGATAACATGCTTTGATCCTAAAGCATGGAAACCGAAGTGCAATACAATATAATTTACAACTGTTGCGAATTCTTAAAAGGATGTAGGCGGTTATAATAATTTTAAGGAATGACTTTTTCACAAGAGTTTACGCATCATTTTTCTTGCTGTTTTGCGAATTTTGCATAGATAAAAGTAAAACCTGAGAAGGGGGTTACACAGAATGAGATACCTAAGCATTTTCCGAATAATGAATCAAATCCACCCATGTAAATCAGATTTACCTCAAAAGGCTCTAGACTCGGATCTAGATCATTTTAGGAGGATCTTCATCTAGATCCTATCTCGGATCCTATCTTAAGTGCGGACACTGGTCGCAGTCCAGTTACAACTCCTTATGTCGCTGCCACCTGTGTGGTAGTCTTGAGTAGGCACTGGTATTCATATGGTAGTCTCTGGTATTCATGGGGTAGCCTCTTGTAATCACTGGTAGTCCTATGGTAGTCTGTGGTAGTCTTTCGCAACTGGTAGTCTTTCGTACAACATTTTGCCCATGTGTTACCCCCTCGTGCAAAAACCTCCGTTTTCCAGAAGATTGCGATCTGCAAGATATCAACACCAGTTTTGCTTAAATTCAAAAGACTTAAGGCTTCACTTAGCTTCCTTCGTTCTATCTAGGGGGGAGTCCCTTATTCCCTGGACAAAATGAGACCACATGACTTTTATTGAACAGACTGTATGTCTAAAAATATTGTTATCTATTATCTATTTATCTATAATCTCAATCATCTGAGCGCTATCTGCCGCCTACCGAAGGTCGATTCAGCCTATATATTTAGAAATTAGGTACTTTTCCTTTGGTTACCATGTCTACCAACGATGTTAGTTATGCAAGATAAGATACTTATCGTAAAAACTGAAAATATGATTTATAATTTTGTTTCAAATTTTGTTTGTTTTGGTAGAACTAACTATCACTAATTTCTTTGACACAAGTAAATCTTTGTATGAAATTTTGGAATTCTTAGGATGGTTAGAAATCGAACCGAAACGCTTCATCTGCTTAAGAAAGGTCTTAAAGGTATTGTAATCGCTATAATTGTAACTACCTTGTAAAAACGCTCGCATTATTGTGTAATAGCACAGATGTAAATATACTATGTGTAATAGTGAGTGAGCTGGATTAATCTAAAGCGATACGAGCACACAATGTTTACAAAAATTGTGCCAACATTTTGCGATAATGGGGACACTACATTGTACAAGGTTAATGTCACGCTATTCTTCAGTCAGTCATAGATGCTAAGTGACAAATGACCATCAAAACACGTGTCTTCAAACTCTTGTGGAAAATCCTGTACGTTCACAATATGACGACCGCGTACGTATAAAAAACGTGTGACACCCAAGAAATTTTCAGCTGAATGTTAGGAAGTGGTTCGTACCTACCTTAGCAAAGTAAAAGGAAAATCGCCAAATTTTGTATCGCAAATGCCTTCGACGCCGCACTACAGCTTATGTTCATCGACCCTCGCGAAGCGCTTTATTTTTACAGTCACCGCACAATAAAAAATCACCCTTCAAAAGTCATAACGAGGGTCACAGATTTTCGCACTAGGTACAACAGGCGACTACTCATCTTTACGAAATACGAATTTTAATTCCCATAACGGAAATACTTATCATGTGCTAACCGCAAACTGATATTGCTATCTGAATATGACACCTCTATTAGACGTACTTACACTGAATTGTACGTAAATCCATCTGGAATTCACGTGAGTCAATAGCAAAACTCCAGAAAACTCAAAGAAAAATTGGTTCAACTAAACTATCACTCTCTGTGTGTAAAACAAACAGCTCTTCTTCCGTGTTTAGGTCGTAGAATCGCTGTGCTCAGGGATTGCAATGAGTTCAGGTAATCGAATTGGAAGAGTTTTTTTTTCTAATGCGACATGTTCCTCGATCTCCTGAATTTTTATACATAAAAAAAGCAGAATACCCGATATCGCATGATGGTTGAAAACTTCCAAAGATACTGACAATCAAGTATCTCAAAGCAGTGATTCAGAAATTGATTCGAATATGCTTGGCCAGTGCGTCCATTGTTCTAAAAATGAGCACACGATTTTTAGCTTTTTTTTCCTTTGGACCAATATTCGTAGGTAAGGTAAGTGAAATCATGGTTTCCTACTTTGAGCGCTGCGTGAAAAAATTTAGGTGATTTAGTCATTTTTTAGGAGATACTAAAAAATTTAACTATACTCGTACACGTTTTTTTAAAACGTTTTACCTTTTTGATTTGTATGAATCTACATACAACATTTTTAGCGCCGAAATAGCTTTTGTTTTGACATCACCAATGGATATATTTCTTGCAGACGTCGCAATCACAATTTGTGAGTACCCTCTTCCTACAATCCGTTCTTGAGGTATAAATGAATATACCCGATCACGATAAGAGGTCGAGGAGGAGGGCTATGGTTGGGAGAAATTAATTGAGACCTTTCATTAGAGTACCAAGACGGATAAAACTAGTTTCACTCCCCCCCCCCCCCCGTACTTTCATTAGAGGACAGAAGAAGGGCAGTAGTTGATAGAAAACGATTCCTTTCGTTGAGACCTTTAATTAGAATACAATGAGAGTCGCACGGGAAAGTTATAGTTTGTACAAACCAATTTATTTCGATGAGACCTTTCATTAGAATACCATGAAGGGTAGAACATGTGTCTACCCCCCCCCCCCCTTTTTTTGTAAAGTTTAACTTGGCACCACTAAAAGCATGCGTATGCAAAATCTGAGACGAAATGGTTGTCGTATGTAAAAGTTATGCACGTTTTACTTTCAAAAACAGCATCTCAGGAAATAATTCGTGGGGGGGGGGTCCCTTTTAGACAGCGAAATTTGATGGCCGCCTGGCACCGAGCCTGGTACACCTTCAAGGTATAGGGTACCTACTGCAAAAAATTCCTGGACTCTAGCACCATTCCCCTAGAAGTAGTTCGAAACAGCAGAAAGGGGTCCGGACGGACGGACAAAACGCAAACAATAGCACATTTTTTTTATTCTTAAAAAATGCGCTAAAAATTACTAATTTTGTAAATTAAACTACTGCTGACATTAATACTGAACTGCACTTGTCAAAATCCTGCAAGTTCAGTAAAGAACATTTGTTGTATATGTATAGATTTATCCTCGGATTTCTCATTTTTTAATTTATGAAAAAAATTGGCATTAATTACAAATTGTGGTTACGTGACGTTATTAAGCCCTCAGGTACGATCATGAAATTGATAAAAATGGCTAGAGGGCACCTTAATTAAGCGCTTTCAACAAAAAAATTTGCGGGAGAAGCCCTAAATTTTCACTATCTTAATACATAGTTCACATAATTTGGTCAAAATGTGAGGTTATGTTACTCCATATTTTATGATTACTTCTAAGTTGGTAAGAGTGTGCGTAACATTCCAACTTCAATTTCTTGTGTGTTTCTAATTATACCATAATAGCAGTACGTAGTTCTCTACATGTTTTACATAATTCATGTGTTCATTAAGATGGTTCTTCCCCTTTCGAGTGATGAGGTCATTGCTAGTCGCCGGTGGATATAGAAAACGCGTTCGAAGTTAAACGGCGGTCGCTAACAAAGAGGCGGTCTATGGAAGATGCGAAAGATATCCCTTCCCCTTTCGACTGATAAGATTTCCCCTGTCGGTGGTCGATCTTTGTTAGATGCAAAATGTAACCCTCTCTATGACATTCTTCTTTCCTAATGCATTCAGGTTTAGACTGTATGCGCTTCCCAAGGTTGTTTTATTAAAGTGTATCCACATGCGACATGGAAGTATCACGTTAGTATACACGTTAAACCCAGCATATTTCAATCTAGTAGAGGAAGAAGTTAACATAACCTTTTACAACTGTCATTTAAACGATCACATTTTCAGTTATACCAACCTACGAATGACGAAATATAAGTAACATAACCTCAGGCTGCGACGAAATGAAGTAAACTTTTAAATAAGATTGTGCCAATTTTGTTGTTGAAAACGCTTAATTAAGGTTCCCTCTAGCCATTTTTATGAATGGCATGATGATACATGAGGGGCTTAATAAATTAAACTAAATCTTAAAATTTCACTATTTTGGAAAAAAAATGTTAATGTTTGGAGGGCTCTATCTCGGCAAGTATTGAACCTACAAAGCTAGTTCTGGTCTCAAATTGTAGACATTTTGGTCTACCTACTGTAAAAGATCATACTTTCAACAAACCGAAAACCACAAACGGCAAGAAGAAAAAAGGAACTAACCCTTCAAAAGCAGTGTGCGTAAGTAAAGTTAAGTTTGCCCACCAGTGTAGTATCTGTCGTGCCCCCCCCCCCCCCCCCCCCCCAGTTGTGCTGTTTTCCATGACGCCACCAATAATAAGAGCCCACCAAATGCATTAACAATGGACATGCGACACGAGCTCCTTCGACCTCTCACCGACCAAAAGACTCCCACCGGAGGGTCATTCACAAAATCCACCACCAGGCTCAACGGTACGGAGGACGCTCATGCGATGATGCAGTCAATAAACAAAGAGAACGCCCTAAGAGGACTCCCAATGTTCCAAAATGACACCGCGACCTGGTGGCAAGGGGTGAAAAATATCCTCTCCACCTGGGACGAAGCCATGGCCCTCCTCAGTCGGACGTTCGGACCACAAAAGCCGATACACCACCTTCCCCGTGACCTGTTCCTCTTCTTCCCGCCGAATGATCATATAAAAACCTCCAATTAATCGAGAGAAGCCGAAGCCCCCCCCCCCCCTACCCAGGCGAATACCACTACCTGGCCAGAAGTACACCCACAAATCTACTCAATATTCGCGGATAGCCGTCGATGGATCTCGCCATTTTTGGTCGATTACGAGGAAATCTGCTTACGGCCCGACGAAGGGCTCGCGAGCAAACGCAGCTAAACACCCTCCCCGCCGAGAATGCAGACAAGTTCGCACCAGAGGGAGAACCCACACCGTTCATCGTCCAATAGCCACTAGACCGGCACGAAGAAACAAGTCGCAGAATATGACAAAAACTGCCAACGATAGAAAGCGACCAACTAAGAACCAGCACTACTGCAAACTTCCGCACCTCCCCGACGGTTTGAAGTAATCTCCATTGATCTTTTCAGCACACTCCCGGCAGCAGCAAGCAAAGAAAAATGGATCTTCATAGTGGAAAGATGTTGCCATCCGATGGGTAGAAGAACTCCTTGCTCTCGTGCAATCAGATAGCCAAAAGTGCGCCGAAGTACTCATACATACACTCAGTACTCATAATGGGACCCAATTCGTTAGCAACACGAGCACATGCTTGGGGATACCTCCAGTGTACCATCCTCAGGTACACCCCGTAGAAAGGAAAAACCGAGACCTAAAACCACAATTGGTAATACTGGTAAAAGATCACCATACCAATTAATTGCCCAAACAAATTAGCAAGGATCAGGTTCGCCTGTGCCACTCTTTTGTGAAACTTAATACCACAAACAGAATCAATCCAACTACGTTTGTTTCTAAGATACAGGGTGAAAACGAAAAGATTTACTTTTTTACTATCAATGTAAAAACTACTTATATTAGGTATTTTTACGTAGAATCCAATGGCGTAGTAAAAAAATGTGTGGACCACCGTTTCTGAGATTTGATCCAAAGTTGGTGTTTTTTAAATGTAACACCCTGTATAACTTAAAAATCTTGAAATGACATGTGTCTGTTGTCAGCCATTTTTATTGATTGATATCGGCTGCCTTAGTTACTATACAATGAACGAAACAAAATCTCCATGAATCCATGGCCTACTATTTAAAAACAGTAAAAAATAAGGTTTTTATTGATTTTCATGGTTAAAATTAAAAAAAAAAGTAGGTTGCGATACATGAATGGAGGAATGCAAAAAATTGACGTTAAGATATACAGGGTGTTGCATTAAAAAAAGTCCAACTTAGTAAAACTTTTCGCTTCCACCCTGTATCTGAGAAACCAAAGTAGTTGCGTTGATTCTGTTTCTGGTATTACAAGTTTTACCAAAAAGTGGCACTGGGTCGCGAAACCCAAAGGTAAAAAACCAGCTGAGGAACACTGGAGTCTCAACCAAAATTGGACACATTGCAATTAAATTTTATAATTTGCAAACATGGTGATGGACCACAGACTGTCGACGGGGGGGGGGGGCGTGTTGAACATACCTGACGTAAAATGACGTCGTGGGCTGTTTTGTTGTCGTCATATTTACGTAATATATCGTTACCTTTTATGTTGACTGTGACGTGACTACTATCCCGGAAGTACTGATCGTAGTAGGTATTACAGGTATGTTCCATTTCCAGAAAAGTGATAGAACTGCCTAAAACGTTCACACCTTTTTAATGGATATATCCTCAGATTACCATATTTGTCAACATTTAGTCTACCGTCTCCCTCAAATTTGGACGTTCTTGTGCTATCGCATAATAAAAGTTTAACGAACTCTCTTCTTTCGTCTTTAATGCATTTGCTTTCAGCTTTCTACATTAAACAGCAGGACAAAAAACGTGAGAGCCACTGAAAATTGTAATTGAC